CCCTCGTTACAAATGTATTCTCAGGTTGAAACACTTAAGAATAAGTGTCAGTAAAGTGGCCAAGGAGCACTTCAAAAGTGGTACTTCCTGCTGCGCCTCATCTCACACTTGATGATCTTGAGGAACGTCTGTCTGAAGGTCTTGTTGAAGAAGGTGTAGAAGAACGGGTTGACCATTGAGGAGGCGTAGCCTAGCCACGTCACGAAGTTGATCATCTCGTCCTTAATGTGAGCCCCGCACGAGATGAGAACGTTGGCGATGAAGAACGGCGCCCACAGCAGCACGAACGTGAAGAACACCACACCCAACACCTGTAATGTTTGAAGAACGTTAGTGGTGAAGAACGGAGCCCACAGCAGCACGAACGTGAAGAACACCACACCCAACACCTGTAATGTTTGAAGAACGTTAGTGGTGAAGAACGGAGCCCACAGCACACATGAACACCTGAAGAACACCCAACACCTGTACAAGGTAGGAGAACACCAACAATGGGTACCAGGAACGACTCTATAAACTACCACATCACGAATAAGTGGCATGTCAACACATGTGACTGTTACCTCACACATGTGAGTGGGTAATGACTGGTTCCGACTGGCAGTGACTGCTTATGACGGGTAATAACTGCTTGTTAACGTGTAATAACTGGTTGTGACTGGTTGTATGTGGACATAACTGGTCGTAACTGCTTGGGAAAAATGTTGTTGATAGTGAACTTGTGAGATAAACTAAATTTCCACCGTTGTCACAGCTAAGAAGCTTATCAAGGCTATGTGACTCGCATAGCTCTATGTGACTCCCATAGCTCTATGTGACTCTGAGCTGTCAACGCTACACAGCTAATAAGAGTAACTAACGAACAAGAAACAGAGGACCATAGGTAGACATACTGAAGGGAAGGGAACTATCAGGGGAAAGCGCCAAGCCATTAGACTATATAGCACTGGTAAGGGGTCAGGATAAGGATTGGGGGATGGGACGGGGGAAAGGAATGGTTGGCCAACCACTTGTGGACGGTCAGGGATTGAACGCCGACCTGCATGAATCTTGAGTTGGATTCCCCCTAGAGTCTGGTTCCCCCTAGAGTCTGGTTCCCCCTAGAGTCTGATTCCCCCTAGAGTCTGATTCCCCCTAGAGTCTGATTCCCCCTAGAGTCTGATTCCCCCTAGAGTCTGATTCCCCCTAGAGTCTGGTTTCCCCTAGAGTCTGGTTCCCCCTAGAGTCTGATTCCCTAGAATCTGATTCCCCCTAGAGTCTGGTTCCCCCTAGAGTCTGGTTCCCCCTAGAGTCTGGTTCCCCCTAGAGTCTGATTCCCCCTAGAGTCTGATTCCCCCTAGAGTCTGATTCCCCCTAGAGTCTGGTTCCCCCTAGAGTCTGGTTCCCCCTAGAGTCTGATTCCCCCTAGAGTCTGATTCCCTAGAATCTGATTCCCCCTAGAATCTGATTCCCCCTAGAGTCTGGTTCCCCTAGAGTCTGGTTCCCCCTAGAGTCTGATTCCCCTAGAGTCTGATTCCCCTAGAGTCTGATTCCCCCTAGAGTCTGATTCCCCCTAGAGTCTGATTCCCCCTAGAGTCTGGTTCCCCCTAGAGTCTGGTTCCCCCTAGAGTGTGATTCCCTAGAATCTGATTCCCCCTAGAGTCTGATTCCCCCTAGAGTCTGATTCCCCCTAGAGTCTGGTTCCCCCTTGAGTCTGATTCCCCCTAGAGTCTGATTCCCCCTAGAGTCTGGTTCCCCTAGAGTCTGGTTTCCCCTAGAGTCTGGTTCCCCCTAGAGTCTGGTTCCCCCTAGAGTCTGATTCCCCCTAGAGTCTGATTCTCCCTAGAGTCTGATTCCCCCTAGAGTCTGATTCCCCCTAGAGTCTGGTTCCCCCTACAGTCTGATTCCCCCTAGAGTCTGATTCCCCCTAGAGTCTGGTTCCCCCTAGAGTCTGGTTTCCCCTAGAGTCTGATTCCCCCTAGAGTCTGGTTCCCCCTAGAGTCTGATTCCCCCTAGAGTCTGGTTCCCCCTAGAGTCTGATTCCCCCTAGAGTCTGATTCCCCCTAGAGTCTGTTTCCCCCTAGAGTCTGATTCCCCCTAGAGTCTGATTCCCCCTAGAGTCTGATTCCCCCTAGAGTCTGGTTCCCCCTAGAGTCTGATTCCCCCTAGAGTCTGGTCCCCCCTAGAGTCTGATTCCCCCTAGAGTCTGATTCCCCCTAGAGTCTCTGATTCCCCCTAGAGTCTGATTCCCCTTCCCCCTAGAGTCTGATTCCCCCCTAGTCTGATTCCCCCTAGAGTCTGTTCCCCTAGAGTCTGATTTCCCCTAGAGTCTGGTTCTATCCCCCTAGAGTCTGATTTCCCCCTAGAGTCCTGGTTCCCCCTAGAGTCCCCCTGATTCCCCCTAGAGTCTGATTCCCCCTAGAGTCTGATTCCCCCTAGAGTCTGTTTCCCCCTAGCGTCTGGTTCCATTCCCCCTAGAGTCTGATTCCCCCTAGAGTCTAGATTTCCCCCTAGAGTCTGGTTTTCCCCTAGAGTCCCGATTCCCCTAGAGTCTGATTCCCTAGAGTCTGATTCCCCCTATAGTCTGGTTCCCCCTAGAGTCTGATTTCCCCTAGAGTCTGATTCCCCCTAGAGTCTGGTTCCCCCCTAGAGTCTGATTCCCCTTTTATCTGATTCCCCCTAGAGTCTGGTTCCCCCTAGAGTCTGATTCCACCTAGAGTCTGATTCCCCCTAGAGTCTGATTCCCCCTAGAGTCTGGTTCCCCCTAGAGTCTGGTACCCCTAGAAGCTGGTTTCCCCTAGAGTCCCTGATTCCCCTAGAGTCTGGGTCCCCCTAGAGTCGGATTCCCCCTACCCCTAGAGTTGATCCCCTACTAGAGTCGGATTCCCCCTAGAGTCTGGTTCCCCCTAGAGTCTGGATTCCCCCTAGAGTCCGGTTACCCCTAGAGTCTGATTCCCCCTAGAGTCTGATTCCCCCTAGAGTCTGATTCCCCTAGAGTCTGGTTCCCCCTAGAGTCTGATTCCCCCTAGAGTCGGGTTCCCCCCTAGAGTCTGATTCCCCCTAGAGTCTGATTCCCCCCTAGAGTCGATTCCCCTAGAGTCTGATTCCCCCCTAGAGTCTGATTCCCCCTAGAGTCTGATTCCCCCGAATCTGAGTTCCCCTAGAGTCTGGTTCCCCCTAAGTCTGATTCCCCCTAGAGTCTGTTCCCCCTAGAGTCTGATTCCCCCTAGAGTCTGATTCCCCCTAGAGTCTGATTCCCCCTAGAGTCTGATTCCCCCTAGAGTCTGATTCCCCTAGAGTCTGATTCCCCCTAGAGTCTGATTCCCCTAGAGTCTGGTTCCCCCTAGAGTCTGATTCCCCTAGAGTCGGATTCCCCCTAGAGTCTGGTTCCCCCTAGAGTCTGATTCCCCCTAGAGTCTGATCCCCCCCCTAGAGTCTGATTCCCCCTAAGTCTGATTCCCCCTAGAGTCTGATTTCCCCCTAGAGTCTGGTCCCCCTAGAGTCTGATTCCCCCTAGAGTCTGGTCCCCCCTAGAGTCTGATTCCCCCTAGAGTCTGGTTCCCCCTAAGTCTGATTCCCCCTAGAGTCCTGATTCCCCTAGAGTCTGATTCCCCCCTAGAGTCTGGTCCCCCCTAGAGTCCTGATCCCCCTAGAGTCTGATTCCCCCTAGATGTCGGGTTCCACCTAGAGTCTGATTCCCCCTAGAGTCTGGTCCCCCCTAGAGTCTGATTCCCCCTAGAGTCTGATTCCCCCTAGAGTCTGCCCTTCCCCCTAGAGTCTGATTCCCCTAGAGTCTGGTCCCCCCTAGAGTCTGATTCCCCCTAGAGTCCTGATTCCCCCTAGAGTCTGATTCCCCCCTAGAGTCTGATTCCCCCTAGAGTCTGATTCCCCCTAGAGTCTGGTTCCCCCTAGAGTCTATTCCCCCTAGAGTCTGATTCCCCCTAGAGTCTGATTCCCCCTAGAGTCTGGTTCCCCCTAGAGTCTGATTCCCCCTAGAGTCTGATTCCCCCTTAGAGTCTAGTTCCCCCCTAGAGTCTGGTTTCCCCTAGAGTCTGATTCCCCTTAGAGTCTGATTCCCCCTAGAGTCTGATTCCCCCTAGAGTCTGGTTCCCCCTAGAGTCTGATTCCCCCTAGAGTCTGGTTCCCCCTAGAGTCTGGTTTTCCCCCTAGAGTCTGATTCCCCCTAGAGTCTGTTCCCCCTAGAGTCTGGTTCCCCCTAGAGTCTGATTCCCCCTAGAGTCTGATTCCCCTAGAGTCTGGTTCCCCCTAGAGTCTGGTTCCCCCTAGAGTCCTGGTCCCCCCCCTAGAGTCTGAGTCCCCCTAGAGTCTGATTCCCCCTAGAGTCTGATTCCCCCTAGAGTCTGATTCCCCCTAGAGTCTGATTCCCCCTAGAGTCTGGTCCCCCCTAGAGTTCTGATTCCCCCTAGAGTCCTGGTTCCCCCTAGAGTCTGATTCCCCCTAGAGTCTGATTCCCCCTAGAGTCTGGTTCCCCCTAGAGTCTGATGGTCCCCCCTAGAGTCTGGTCCCCCTAGAGTCTGATTCCCCCTAGAGTCTGATTCCCCCTAGAGTCTGGTTCCCCCTAGAGTCTGGTTCCCCTAGGTTTGATTCCCCCTAGAGTCTGATTCCCCCTAGAGTCTGATTCCCTCTAGAGTCTGGTTCCCCCTAGAGTCTGGTCCCCCTAGAGTCTGGTTCCCCCCTAGAGTCTGGTTCCCCCTAGAGCTTTTAGTTATCACAATATATTTTCTCAGACCAATTCAGTGGTTTTATTGTTTGTAATTAATAATCTTGCAACAAAAGGGTGAGGAAAGAATGGGCCGTCGAAGGGGGGGGGGGAGTGGTGATGAGAGGCCAAAGGAGGAAAAGGGTGAAGTGTAGAGAAGAGGTTGCCAGGGAGACAGGGTAGAGGAAGAGTCCCGGGTACCGCCGGGTATATAATCCTTATATATGTATAAATGAACATATCTGATCGAGAGGGGAGGGGGGGGGTGTAGGGGAGGGGAATGAGGGGGGTGAGAGGGGGAGGGTGGATAGGAGAAGAGGGAGGAAAGATGTGGAGAGAGGGGGAAAAAGAAGAGGGGGGGGGGGTAGAATGGGGGATAAAGGGAGAGACAGACTACCCCGGGTACCGCCGGGTAACATTCTATGTCTTAAGAGTGTGAGTTTATAGATGAGAACACAAACTCCCAAAGGCTGAAGAGTGATACAAGAAGATCTTGATCAACTTCAACAAGAGACAGACATGTGGCTGCTAGAATTCAATTCTAGCAAGTGCAAGGTAAAAATTCTAGATAAACGGGAAACTAGAATTACGCTATGCAATAACAGGTTGGTAGAGAGAAGAGAGAGAGAGAGAGAGAGAGAGAGAGAGAGAGAGAGAGAGAGAGAGAGAGAGAGAGAGAGAGAGAGAGAGAGAGAGAGAGAGAGAGAGACTGGGAATCTGACCCTATGGAGAGAGAGTCAGTCTCTCTCTCTCTCTCTCTCTCTCTCTCTCTCTCTCTCTCTGTAAAGTCATCATAAGTACAGTATACTGTAAGGACACTGGCCCTCAGTTCCCTATACTTGTAAACCTTTCAAAGTGAAGGAGAAATCCATACGAAGAGGTCAGTAGCATATTTGAAGTCTTTATACAGCATCGTGGCATAGACTCAGGGACAGTAAATCTGGCTTCACAAATGGAATTCCGTGAGAAGACGACCAGTATCCAAGACAGAGAAGCGTTGGAAAACTGCCCATTTTTGGACGGTTGGACAGGCGGCGACACAGGACGGCACTTGGGACTGATGCACGAGCTGGAGAGACAGGCAAGGGGAGACAAGGAAGGCTTCTCTCAGTAGGTAAGGAAGGTATCATCTTGAGGTTATCTTGAGATGATTTCGGGGCTTTTTAGTGTCCCCGCGGCCCGGTCCTCGACCAGGCCTCCACCCCCAGGAAGCAGCCCGTGACAGCTGACTAACACCCATGCAACTCTGCCCATTGTTTCTCGCCGGCGCCTGGATTCGAACCCAGGACCACAGAATCACACGTCCAGCGTGCTGTCCGCTCGGCCGACTGGCTCCCTAAGGAAGGTTCTAAGAGAGAGGGAAGGTACTTCACTGTTCCCACATGTGGCCAGGGTCTCTCCCTGATGTAATATATATAACAAACATATATAATGTTTGTCTGATACAATATAAAATAATATATCTAGATACTCTATAGATATATTGATGTGCCTATTGCTACTTTCTAATTGCCTTGTATGTCGGTATATGTTCTATGGTACTAATCGTTACTATAAGTACTACTTAAGAACATTAATTGTTCCATAGACGTTCCAGGACAAGTCTCGGAGCCCTGAGGCGGCATTTTCACGTTCCGGTGAGAGAGATCTGCGACACAGTTGCTGTGAGAGATCTGCGACACAGTTGCTGTGAGAGAGATCTGCGACACAGTTCCTGCGAGAGAGATCTGCGACACAGTTCCTATGAGGTGATCTGCGACACAGTTCCTGCGAGATAGATCTGCGACACAGTTCCTGTGAGAGAGATCTGCGACACAGTTCCTGTGAGGTGATCTGCGACACAGTTCCTGTGAGGTGATCTGCGACACAGTTCCTGTGAGAGAGATCTGCGACACAGTTGCTGTGAGGTGATCTGCGACACAGTTCCTATGAGATAGATCTGCGACACAGTTCCTGCGAGAGAGATCTGCGACACAGTTCCTATGAGGTGATCTGCGACACAGTTCCTGCGAGATAGATCTGCGACACAGTTCCTGTGAGAGAGATCTGCGACACAGTTCCTGTGAGGTGATCTGCGACACAGTTCCTGTGAGGTGATCTGCGACACAGTTCCTGTGAGAGAGATCTGCGACACAGTTGCTGTGAGAGAGAGATCTGCGACACAGTTCCTGCGAGAGAGATCTGCGACACAGTTCCTGCGAGAGAGATCTGCGACACAGTTCCTGCGAGAGAGATCTGCGACACAGTTGCTGTGAGAGAGAGATCTGCGACACAGTTTACCTAGGTGTGACACAAGCACATCTATATCCCCAGTCCACCAATGAGCCACAGAGACATTATAAATTCAGATTTATTCAAGATCTTAATAATTAACGAATTAAATGCACTAAAAATGAATTACTCCTCATTCGTCTCTACAGCCACTTGGGCTGGACGGTAGAGTGCCGCTTTCCCTTCATGCAGGTCGGCGTTCAATCCCCGACCGTCCACAAGTGGTTAGACACCATTCCTTTCCCTCCGTCCCATACCAAATCCTTATTAACCTTCCAAGGGTTATATAGTTGTGATATCTTAGCGCTATCTCTTGATAGTTCCCTTCACTCGCCTCCACATGTAGATATGACGAAGCAGAATTGATTTGGCAAACCTGTAAATCGGTAAATATAGGGTTCGAACGCGGTACCAAAAAGACGGAGTTGAGGTTCCCTTAGCCTCACCCTACCCTCCCCCACCTCACCCTTAAACCCTCCCCACCCCTCCCTACCTTCCCCACCCCATCCTTAAACCCTCCCCACCTCACCCTTAACCCTCCCCACCTCACCCTTAAACCCTCCCACACCACCCTATCCTCCCCACCTCACCCTTAAACCCTCCCCACCTCACCCTTAAACCCTCCCCACCTCACCCTTAAACCCTCCCCACCTCACCATTAAACCCTCCCCACCTCACCCTACCACCCCCTCACCCCTCCCTACTACTCCCTACCCCACCCTTAAACCCTCCCCACTCCACCCTACCCTCCCAAACTCACCCTTAAACCCTCCCCACCTCACCCTTAAACCCTCCCCACCTCACCCTACCCTCCCCACCCCTCCCTACTCTCCCCACCCCACCCTACCCTACTCTCCCCACCTCACCCTACCCTCCCCACCTCACCCTACCCTCCCCCACCTCACCCTACCCTCCCCACCTCACCATTAAACCCTCCCCACCTCACCCTACTCTCCCTACCTCACCCCTACCCTCCCCACCCCTCCCTACTCTCCCCACCCCACCCTTAAACCCTCCCCACTCCACCCTACCCTCCCCACCTCACCCCTACCCTCCCCACCTCACCCTTAAACCCTCCCCACCTCACCCTATCCTCCCCACCTCACACCACGACCTAGCCTCACCCTACCCTCCCCCACCTCACACCACGACCTAGCCTCACCCTACCCTCCCCCACCTCACACCACGACCTAGCCTCACCTTCGTAGCCTTCTGCTCCATCCTAATGTTCCGTCCGTGCCGCTTCGACGACACGTACTTGATGGAGGAGGAACACGACCTCTGCCGCCACAGGCCCCTGGACGACGGCACGGAACTCACTGACGACGACTCGCTGGAGGTCGTCTTGTGCAGCAGGGTCGTGACCTGACCTCCTGACCTGGGGGGAGGGGGGAAGGAACCTGATGAGTACTACGACCGTCCTGTGATGAGTACTACGACCTTCCTGTGATGAGTACTACGACCTTCCTGTGATGAGTACTACGACCCTCCAGTGATGAGTACTACGACCTTCCTGTGATGAGTACTACGACCCTCCTGTGATGAGTACTACGACACTCCTGTGATGAGTACTACGACCCTCCAGTGATGTGTTCTCTTGTTACTGTCTGTTATTTAAAATTATTTCTGAAATTGACACATCAGGTGTCAATTCCTGACTACGGGAGTACTTAATAGTGTAAAGTACCCAGCTAAGGGAGTACTTAACAGTGTAAAGTACCCAGCTAAGGGAGTACTTAACAGTGTAAAGTACCCAGCTAAGGGAGTACTTAACAGTGTAAAGTACCCAGCTGATGGTGTACTTAATAGTGTAAAGTACCCAGCTAATGGTGTACTTAACAGTATAAAGTACCCAGCTAATGGTGTACTTAGTAGTGTAAAGTACGCAGCTAATGGTGTACTTAGTAGTGTAAAGTACCCAGCTAATGGTGTACTTAGTAGTGTAAAGTACCCAGCTAATGATGTACAAAATAGTGTAAAGTAGTCAACTAAGGGTGTACTTAATAGTGTAAAGTACCCAGCTAATGGTGTACTTAATAGTGTAAAGTACCCATCTAAGGGAGTACTTAAAAGTGTAAAGTACCCAACTAAGGGAGTACTTAATAGTGTAAAGTACCCAGCTAATGGTGTGCTTAATAGTATAAAGTACCCATCTAAGGGAGTACTTAAAAGTGTAAAGTACCCAGCTAAGGGAGTACTTCATAAAGTACCCAGCTAAGGGAGTACTTCATAAAGTACCCAGCTAAGGAAGTACCTATTACATGACCATTCATTTTGAACATGAAACTAGCAGCGTAGGCCATAACCTGTTCAATAAACAATAATATGAAATGAATAAATACAGGTGAGTCTTGACTACATTAAAATCTGTAATTCAAAACATAAATACAGCCAGAGGCGAGGCTAGGTAGGGATGTTACCCCTTTTATTTACTTTTATGTATTATATGTATTTCTTCTACATGATCCCTATCAAAGTATACACAATAAAGTGATACAGTAAGCATACAGGAAGGAGGTTAGATTTTTTTTAATAATTATAATTCATTTGCTTAGTATTCAATATTTATTATATATTAATTTATGTGTAGGCCTATAATTTCTTAACTAACAATCTTATGGGTGATCTAGATTTAGTAGTAAAAATTATGTTATAGACACATATTTTACTTATATCAATACAATGACTTTTCTTAAGTGTTCATCTTCATTAACCTGTTTTACTTAATAAATATTCTAATTTAATGCTATTTAATACCTTATTAATGCTATAGTGAGACATAAAGAGGACTTATAACTAGCCTGAGAGAGACGAAGGGTCCTCCTAACTAACGCTGTAGTTACGACAATTAGCGTCTCTGATATTCAATGTTCAACAGTGTTCACTTATTGAATAACTTCTACCATAACATCTTTGCAATGATAATATTTATTTGTCGTTTCATGAAATACATATTTGTCACGAGCTCCAGATACACAGAATATACATATGGAACTGGCCAACAGGGATATTTCCGGATCCGGGTTGTGTAGTCGAGAAAATGTGACATATAAATACGGTTTACATAACGCTAGAAATATTCATAGGGTGTCGTGGCGGGAAATGGTCTTAGGGTCTCTACTTTTGTAATCAATTTGGTGAATCGGGACGTAACCGCCAAGAGGCGACTAGAAGAAGGACGAGTGTCCTAAGTGCCTGCGTAACTGGTTGGTGAATATGGGGCCAGATTCACGAAGCAGTTACACAAGCACTTACGAACGTGTACATCTTTTTTTTTTCAATCTTTGACGGCATTGTTTACAATTATTAAACAGTTAATGAGCTCCGACGCACCAGGAGGCTGTTTAAAACAATAACAACAGTTGACTGAGAAGATTTCATGCATGTAAACTGTTTAATAAATGTCACCAAAGCCGTCAAAGATTATGGAAAGATGTACACGTTCGTAAGTGCTTGCGTAACTGCTTCGTGAATCTGGCCAAAGATCTTTAGTTACCTGAGAGTGGTCCTGGTGACCAGGTCTGTGGTTGAAGCCTCTCGCCACGGCGATGACAGCGCCGCCTCAACGCCCTCTGCCAGCAAGAAAAATCTCATTACATTGTAAACAATACTAACATTAATATGTCAATCATGAAGAATATAATTCCATGTGGGTACTTGGTCTAAAAATGGTATTATACGTGTATATATAAAAGACTGACTGGTAGACTTTTTTGCAAGACTTGCAGGTCAGGGGCCAGATTCACGGAGCAGTTACGCAAGCACGAACGAACGTGTACATCTTTCCTCAGTCTTTGACGGCTTTGGTTACATTTATTAAACAGTTTACAAGCATGAAAACTTGCCAATCAACTGTTGTTATTGTTATAAACAGCCTCCTGGTGCTTCGGAGCTCATTAACTGTTTAATAATTGTAAACAAAGTCGCCAAAGATTGAGAAAAGCTGTACAGGTTCGTAAGTGCTTGTGTAACTGCTTCGTGAATCTGGTCCCTCAGATTTTTGGGTCTAACCTCACACAATTTTGAGGGGTCAGCCATCATGCTCCAGTTTGTCACTCACTTGCATCCTGTCTAAATTATTGAGCTCTATTCGTCCTGTGATTGAATTAGCTGGCAAGCGAGGTGTTGTCGAAGCCTATTTCAACCGGACTCTCAGTCACAGCTCTGGTTGGAAGCAAGGTGATGACCAGGCCAGGTCTGTCTGTGCTTATTACTCTGTTTCCCTCTTTCTGTCTGTCTCCCTGTCTGTCTCTTTCTGTCTGTCTGTATCTATTTTTCTGTGATTGCCAGTTTTTTGTCTATATGTGTTTGATTGTCTGTCTTGCTTTCTGTGTCTCTGTATCTGTCAGTATCTGTATTTTTCTGTCTATATTCCTCTATGTCACCGTCTTTTGTTTGTTTTCCTGTTTCTGTCTCCCTCTTATGAACAACAGAAAGTCTAAAGGAAAATAACATGTCATTACATTTGAAATTTATGCATTATGGATGCATAATGTGTTGCAATATAGCAAGAAACAACCTGGAGTCTAGCTAGAATATGGGAGTGAGATTCATCATGAAATAAAAATGGCAGCAGAACCTATAACACTCATTCCAGTGATACTAACCCCAAGCCGCCCATGTTGGGCACATATCCAGCAGTATTCACAGTTCTAAATATATTTGCATCAATGGAAATTTGTGTTTGCCTATTTGATACTGTAGGCCAGATGCCTAGAGGGATAGCTTCACTTAATTTTTCCCAGTAATTACTGTCGGGTACGTGCCCAACATGGTACAGTCAGAAATGAGTGCCATGTGACGCTGTGCCAAAGTGATCTCACCTTAAAAATCTCGCTGGACTCTTAAATCTCGACTCTGAATAATTTTTATTTTTATTTTCTCGGTAAGAGAAAGACTTTATCCCCTGATTATGCCAAAATTAATATACAAATTCGAAACAGAAAACTTACCTCTTTTAAAACCAAAAATAAAATTTGATGATACAATTTTTTGTCCTTACTCCTTGAGACGTGTCTTACCATGTTTGGTGAACATTGTTGATAAACCAGAGTTAATGGGAGATGATGAGAGAGAGAGAGAGAGAGGGAGAGGAGAGGAGAGAGAGAGAGAGAGAGGGAGAGGGAGAGAGAGAGAGAGAGGGAGAGGGAGAGAGAGAGAGTGAGAGGGAGAGGGAGAGAGAGAGAGAGAGAGAGAGAGAGAGAGAGAGAGAGAGAGAGAGAGAGAGAGAGAGAGAGAGAGAGAGAGAGAGAGAGAGAGAGAGAGAGAGAGATGGAGATGGGATGGAGAATAGAGACAGAATGAGAGAAGTAGTAAATTAGTGACTATTGCTGTTCATTTTGAATTTTGTCGAAGCAGCGACGCGCCTCTCTGGGTGTACCTGCCCCTAGCGATGCTCAGCCATCGCTCTGCATCGCTGTCAACGCCGACTTGCAATTGGGGTGGACGGTAGAGCGATGGTCTCGCTTTATGCAGGTCGGCGAATGGTGCCCAAGTGGTTGGGCACCATTCCTTCTCCCCCGTCCCATCCCAAATCCTTATCCTGACCCCTTCTCAGTGCTATATAGTCGCAATGCCTTGGCGCTCTCTTACGGGATATTCATGCCCGTACTGCCACCTCTTGGATGGCTTAATCTGTATAAATCTTGGCGTTGTCTTCTGATAGCTTCCACAGCCACTACAATGATTAGAAAAGCCGTTAAAGAATGGGACTCACTAGTGAACATTCTGCACCTACATCCGCCACCAAGATAATGTTATTAAAACATGACAAAAACAGAAGCGAAAAAGAAACAGGGAAAAAGGAGGAAACCCCACCTCCATTTAAATCTTTGACCCAAATATCAGAGTAACAAGGTTATCGCGAATAACCTAACTCAATTACGGGCTCACCATAGCCCGTGCTACACGAACACTTCGTTCTGAGTAGCTAAATCTACAACAACAACAACAACATTCTGATAGCTCCCTTAGTGAAGCATACTCACTATGGAAGGTCTCGTGAAAATATTGGTAAAATTGGGTTTTAGTTCAGGGAAAAAAATTATACTTCCCTGGAATTTGGTGTTCCATTGAATCTTGATGTGTTGTAGCGAGAAGGATTAGACTGGATAAGTTTGGGGTTATAGGTTATGGTGGTGGCAGTGTTGTGTTGTGTTGGAAGGTCTGATCACTTTATTGCATGAAATAACCTCTGGCAGTGCTGAGTGTGATGAGATTGAAAGCAGAATCCTGTAAGTTAGATGAAATATATATATTGTTACACTGGGCGAGAGCTGTGTGAAGGGAATAGCTATATCTTAGAAACATTACAAGTTTATTAAAGTTTTGAGTTACGTCTCAGAAAAAAGTATATCGTTTTTGAAAGTGTTATCTTGAGGTTATCTTGAGATGATTTCGGGGCTTTAGTGTCCCCGCGGCCCGGTCCTCGACCAGGCCTCCACCCCCAGGAAGCAGCCCGTGACAGCTGGCTAACACCCAGGTACCTATTTTACTGCTAGGTAACAGGGGCATAGGGTGAAAGAAACTCTGCCCATTGTTTCTCGCCGGCGCCTGGAATCGAACCCAGGACCACAGGATCACAAGTCCAGCGTGCTGTCCGCTCGGCCGACCGGCTCCGAATTGTTAATTAATAAGTGTTAATTAGATCATAGAAAACATTTGCATAATTTCTGTGTTCTGTTGTAGAATGTTTTACACTTTTTTATGTCAGAAATTTTAAATAATTTTGTTGTATTTCTTAGAAAGATTTTGAAAGTTTGGACTCACGTCTTACAAGAGTAAATATTTTTAAAAGTCATGGTAATATGCCTTAGAAAGTTTTCGAAAGCTGAATAAGTTTCGAAACGTTAAGTGATAGAGGAAAAGTATTAAATTCTGAAAGTTTTGTGTAGTCTTAGAATAAGTAATAAATTATTTACTGATATACCACAAGAATATATTCTAAGAAATATATCTGTCTGATAGGTTATGTTAGCTGGGGAAGCTTATACTTAACCAGCATATTGGGCTAATCAAGCTTGTAGTTCTACAGCTAAGTTTCTTTTAAGCTGATTTAAGATGAATGGAATGAATTTTTATATTTTAAGAAGGTAATATTAAGTACAATGTCTCAGAATGATATGATAAAAATTGCAGATTTTAAAATATATATAATTTTATAAACATTTGAAACTGTTTTATTATTAAAGTAGTATAACTGGATATGACATATATATATACTTGAAATGTACATATTTAAAACAGATTGAATTACACGTGTTATTTTCTGTCAATCACTGGGCCCACCGACCTAATGATATCAAGTCCAGCTCAAATTATAATTGCGATACTGAATAGATTTGTTATACTGAATTATATAATAATTATATTAATATTCTGGTGATCTCCAATATTAGTCACGACTTGAAAAGGAAGATTATAGGTGTTGGTCTAAGATGTCTCCCTCTTAACTTAAGCCCCTTCTCCTGTGGGGACTACCAGTATAGCTGTGGGGACTACCAGTGTAGCTGTGGGGACTACAGTGTAGCTGTGTGGACTACAGTGTAGCTGTGTGGACTACCAGTATAGCTGTGGGGACTACCAGTGTAGCTGTGGGGACTACCAGTGTAGCTGTGGGGACTACAGTGTAGCTGTGTGGACTACCAGTATAGCTGTGGGGACTACCAGTGTAGCTGTGTGGACAACCAGTATAGCTGTGTGGACTACCAGTGTAGCTGTGTGAACTACCAGTGTAGCTGTGTGGACTACCAGTATAGCTGTGTGAACTACCAGTATAGCTGTGGGGACTACCAGTATAGCTGTGGGGACTACCAGTATAGCTGTGTGGACTACCAGTATAGCTGTGTGGACTACCAGTATAGCTGTGTGAACTACCAGTGTAGCTGTGTGGACTACCAGTGTAGCTGTATGGACTACCAGTGTAGCTGTGTGGACTACCAGTATAGCTGTGTGAACTACCAGTGTAGCTGTGTGGACTACCAGTGTAGCTGTATGGACTACCAGTATAGCTGTGTGGACTACCAGTGTAGCTGTGTGGACTACCAGTATAGCTGTGTGAACTACCAGTGTAGCTGTGTGGACTACCAGTGTAGCTGTATGGACTACCAGTATAGCTGTGGGGACTACCAGTATAGCTGTGTGGACTACCAGTATAGCTGTGTGGACTACCAGTATAGCTGTGTGGACTACCAGTATAGCTGTGTGGACTACCAGTATAGCTGTGTGGACTACCAGTGTAGCTGTGTGGACTACCAGTATAGCTGTGTGAACTACCAGTGTAGCTGTGTGGACTACCAGTGTAGCTGTATGGACTACCAGTATAGCTGTGTGGACTACCAGTGTAGCTGTGTGGACTACCAGTATAGCTGTGTGAACTACCAGTGTAGCTGTGTGGACTACCAGTGTAGCTGTATGGACTACCAGTATAGCTGTGGGGACTACCAGTATAGCTGTGTGGACTACCAGTATAGCTGTGTGAACTACCAGTGTAGCTGTGTGGACTACCAGTGTAGCTGTATGGACTACCAGTATAGCTGTGTGGACTACCAGTGTAGCTGTGTGGACTACCAGT